CACACTAACTTTCTCTCTCACACACACACACACACACACACACACACACAACACACTAACTCTCTCTCTCTCTCTCTCACACACACACACACACACACTCACACTAACTCTCTCTCACACACACACACTAACTTTCTCTCTCACACACACACACACACACACACACACTAACTCTCTCTCTCTCTCTCTCACACACACACATGCACACACACACTAACTCTCTCTCACACACACACACACACACACACACACACACACACACACACTAACTCTCTCTCTCTCTCTCTCACACACACACACACACACACTCACACTAACTCTCTCTCACACACACACACTAACTTTCTCTCTCACACACACACACACACACACACACACTAACTCTCTCTCTCTCTCTCTCACACACACACATGCACACACACACTAACTCTCTCTCACACACACACACACACACACACACGTGGTGTTAATACATGAGTAAATCTCTCTGATTCATGTCTCGTGTTGCTTCAGTCATTAACCTTCCGATCTTTGACTCATTACACAATTAATTGTGTTCAAACATTTAAAATGAACATCAGAGAAACCAAACGGCCTCCAGTGGAGCACATCATCCAATAAGGCGTCAGCACTGCATGTGGGCGTGGCCCCCGCTCAGCTGCCGGCCAATCAAACAACAGCTGGTGGAAGAGCTGCGATAAACACGGGCCTTCAAAATAACCTTCAGTTTGGTTACATGTCGTTTTTGCCCAAATAACTTGTGAGATGTTTGATAATTCCATCATGTGAGGAAAGTAAACAGTGATTACAAGGTGTTCGGGTTCATTTCTGTGACATGTTCATATGTTTGATGACTAGGCGATGGTTTAGACATCTATTAAATGTTCACTGACAGCCTTGTTTTAGTTCGGACGGCTATTAGACGTCTTTTAAACGCAGAACTGCTTTCTGGGAGGGATGAAGAATCTGGAGAGAGTGATAGAAACTCCAGCGCTGGCCATCATCACATAGATCACACTCACAGCAGCTCCTCTGAGGGAGAATACGTCTAAATCTAATCTAAATCTAAATAAAATAGCTGGAGAAACGCCTGGCGGAGTAAATCTGCAACTCGAGGAGGAGGAGCGATGATGTCAGGACTGTGGGCGGAGTCATGATGTCATCATTATGGAATCAAACGGGGGAGGGAGTGAAATTCCCTTGAAATGTTTACAGGAATGATGGAAAAAAAAAAAAAAAATAATAATTAGATGAAAATAAATAAGTAAAACCTTAGATAAAAAAGTTAATGAATGATTAAATAAACAAAAAAGTAATAAAACATTTGATTAAAAAAGGAATACAAAAAATTCCCTGGAAATGTTTACAGGAATGATGTAAAAAAATAAAATAAAAATAAAACATAAATAAATAAATAATTAGATGAAAATAAATGATAAGTAAAACCTTAGATAAAAAAGTTTATGAATGATTAAATAAACAAATAAATAATTAAAAAATTAAAGGCACACTGTGGAACTTTTCAACCTTTATAATATATTACCAAAACCCATTGAGATGGTACATCGACTTACAATAGGTTGAATGACACGTCTGCCGTAGCCTGAAGGTGTTTGTATCGCTTTTCCTAGCACTATGTAACTTCGGGTTTCGGGTAGGAACCCGAGCACAAAAAGAACTACAAAATTCGACCGCTTTACGGCATACGTCACTTCCCCCACCACCCACAACTTCCTCAGATTCTGACGTGAGTGCTCAACTCGCGTTTGATTGCCGTCTGTATGTTTTCGTCATGGCCGAACCAACAGCCACAAGGAAGAAGGCAAAGGTTTTGTCAGAGGACACTAAAAAAAAAAAGAAAAAGCATAGTGACAAATGTAAAGCCAGGACGAGGATCACCATTGGTCCAGCGTTCGCTCGCTGGCGTGAGCTACAGGAGGAGGAGGGGTGCCCGACCGATGCTGACGCTTGCCTGCACACAAATGCTGTTTCCAAGGTGACACAGATAAATCATATAAGTAGTGTAGTATTTTCTGGTATTCCGGCCACAGCCGATGGTGTTATGAGTGTAATAAAATGCCCACAGCCCATTGTTCATTTCTACACACAAACACAGCCCGCCACAGTGCAGGGCTCGCACAAATAGTCGACTCATGTCAAATGTACATTAAATGTAGTGAACGTGCCCACGACTCAGTGCCCACAAACACTACACACAACATGTCCCACGGTTTCTGTAAAACGAAACCAACACATAAGTTACAGTCAGCTCAGGCCGACGGTGTTTTTAGTGCAGTAGAAATGTGCCCGCCGTCCCGCGCCCACATTCACTCACAGACATGTTAGCACTAAGCCCCACGGGGCTCGCCCCGCTCGCTCTCTCTCAGCAGACTGCTATAACCCCTCATTTACACTGCACACGTCTGCGGCGCATTACGGCTGCGACACGGTTTTATTCCGTCCTTCACACAGTGCCAACTCACTTCTGGGAAGCTTCTGA